GCCAAAGGTAGGTTGGACAGGCAGAGATTAAAGGGGCAAGGTTAGGTTGGATAGGTAGGGTAAAGGGGCAAGGTGGGTTGGATAGGTAGGATTAAAGGCAGGTAGGTTGGATGGGTAGAGTTAAAGGGGGCAAGGTAGGTTGGATGGGTAGGGTAAAGGGCAAAGGTAGGTCCGATAGGTAGAATGGGGCAAGGTAGGTTGGATAGGTGGGGTTAAAGGGGGCAGGGAGTAGGTTGGATAGGTAGGAGTGGGGGCAAGGTGGGTTGGATAGGTAGGATTAAAGGGGGCAAGGTAGGTTGGATAGGTAGGGAGTAAAGGGGCAAGGTAGGTTGGATAGGTTGGGTGGGGGGCAAGGTAGGTTGGATAGGCAGGAGTAAAGGGGCAAGGTAGGTTGGGTGAGGTGAGATTAAAGGGGCAAGGTTAGGTTGGATGGGTAGGGTAAAGGGGCAAGGTAGGTTGGATAGGTAGGGTAAAGGGGGCAAGGTAGGTTGGATAGGTAGGAGTAAAGGGGGCAAGGTAGGTTGGATTGGTAGAGGTAAAAGGGGCAAGGTGGGTTGGATGGGTAGAATTGAAGGGGGCAGGGTAGGTTGGATAGGTAGGTAAAGGGGGCAAGGTGGGTTGGATAGGTAGGGTAAGGGGGGCAGTAGGTTGGATGGGTAGGGTAAAGGGGCAAGGTGGGTTGGATAGGGAGAATAAGGGGCAAAGTTAGGTTGGATAGGTGGATTAAGGGGACAAGAGGTAGGTTGGATGGGTAGAGATAGGGGCAAGGTAGGTTGGATAGGTGAGGGATAAAAGGGGCAAGGTAGGTTGGATAGGTAGGGTAAAGAGGGCAAGAGTAGGTTGGATAGGTAGGGTAAAGGGGGATAGGTAGGGTAAAGGGGGCCAAGGTAGGTTGGACAGGCAGGGTAAAGGGGGCAAGGTGGGTTGGATGGAGTGTAAGATGAAGGGGTAAGGTAGGTCCGTGATAGGTAGAATAAAAGGGGCAAGGTAGGTTGGATAGGTAGGGTAAAGGGGGCAGGATTGGGTTGGATGGGTAGGGTAAAGGGGCAAAGTTGGGTTGGATGGGTAGGGATAAAGGGGCAAGGTAGGTTGGATAGGTAGGAATTAAAGGGGCAAGGTAGGTTGGATAAGTAGGGTAAAGGGGGCAAGGTGGGTTGGATAGGTAGGGTAGGGGCTTTGGAATATAAGACAGGGAGGGAAGGGAGGTATTGTGAGGGACTGGACAGGGAGAGAAAGTGGAAGAAAGGGAGACGCGAAGAAGATTTAAGGAGAGTGGATAGAAAAGATGAAAACCAGGGGAAGAAGAGGAGAAGATGGAAGAGGTGTGTGAAGGACGTCTGATAATAACACGGGGAGGTGGCAGGGAGATATATAGACTTCAGGGGTTTTCTCATCATCCTCATTATTTCACGTCTCTGATTTACCCATTTTTCCCCAAATTTCCCTTTGCACGGAACTCGCCTTTCCTCAAGTTGCTGGTTGTTCAGTCCTAATTTAAACGGAATATTTTGATATGCTCAGTTTACCAACACCCAGGTGGGGGTGCTCAGCTTACCAACACACAGGTGGGGGAGGTGCTCAGCTCACCAACACCCAGGTGGGAGGTGCCCTCACACCCTGGTGGGAGGTGCTCAGGTCACCAACACACAGGTGGGGGAGGTGCTCAGCTCACCAACACCCAGGTGGGGAGTGCTCAGCTCACTAACACCCTGGTGGGGTGCTCTCCGCACCCAGGTGGGGAGGTGCTTAGCTCACAACACCCAGGTGGGGAGGTGCTCAGCTCACTAACACCCGGGGAGGTGTCAGCTCCGCAGGTGGGGGAGGTGTAGCTCACCAACACCCAGGTGGGGGTGGTGCTCAGCTCACCAACACCCAGGTGGGGGGTGCTCAGCCACTAACACAGGTGGTGCTCAGCTACCAACACACAGGTGGGGGGTGCTCAGCTCACCAGGGGTGCTCAGCTCCAACACATGGTGGGGTTCTCCCAGGTGGGGGTGGTGCTCAGCTCACCAACACCCAGGTGGGGAGGTGCTCAGCTCACCAACACATAGGTGGGAGGTGCTCAGTTCACCCAACACCCAGGTGGGGGAGGTGCTCAGCTCACCAACACATAGGTGGGGGAGGTGCTCAGTTCCCACCAGGTGGGGGAGGTGCTCAGCTCACCAACACCCAGGTGGGGTGCTCAGCTCACCAACACCCAGGTGGGGGAGGTGCTCAGCTCACTAACACACAGGTGGGGGGGTGGTGCCTCACTAACACACAGGTGGGGAGGTGCTTAGCTCCTTAACACCCAGGTGGGGAGGTGCTCAGCTCACCAGGTGGGGAGGTGTCAGCTCTCACCCTCGGGGAGTGCTCAGCTCCACACGGGGGGTGCGGCTCACTAACACCCGGTGGGGTGCTCAGCTCCTAACACCCTGGTGGGGGAGGTGCTCAGCTCACCCAGCAGGTGGAGGTGTAGCTCACTAACACCCAGGTGGGGAGGTGCTCAGCTCACTAACACCCTGTGGGGAGGTGCTCAGCTCACCAACACCCAGGTGGGGGAGGTGCAGCTCACTAACACCCTCGTGAGGTGCTCACCTCACCAACACAGGTGGTGGAGGTGCTCAGCTCACTAACACCCTGGTGGGGGAGGTGCTCAGCTCACTGCCCTCGTGGAGGGGTGCTCAGCTCACTAACACCCAGGTGGGGAGGTGCTCAGCTCACTATCACCCTGTGGGAGGTGCTCAGCTCACCAACACACAGGTGGGGAGGTGCTCAGCTCACCAACACCCAGGTGGGGAGGTGCTCAGCTCACTAACACCCAGGTGGGGAGGTGCTCAGCTCACCAACACACAGGTGGGGGAGGTGCTTAGCTCACTAACACCCAGGTGGGGAGGTCTCAGCTCACTAACACCCTGGTGGGGGGTCTATCACTAACACCCAGGTGGGGAGGTGCTCAGCTCACCAACACACAGGTGGAGGTGCTCTGCTCACCAACACCAGGTGGGGGAGGTGCCCAGCTCACCAACACACAGGTGGGGAGGTGCTCAGCTCACCAACACCCAGGTGGGGAGGTGCTCAGCTCACCAACACACAGGTGGGGGAGGTGCTCAGCTCACCAACACAGGTATGAGTACAAGTAGGGAAGTACTCACATGGGGTGTGAGTACAGGTGGTGAAGTACTCAGCTAGCGGTGTTCTCCTCGCCCCAGAAGCGTAGTGATGTAGGTCGACGGCGGGATATTGCAGTCCAAGTTTCGAATTACACTGGAGATTTGCATCCTGCATCCCATTACTCCTGCTGTCAAAGTCGATGAAGATCAAAACCAAAAAAAGATGTTTTAAATTCACACCGACGCCAGAATAAGTTATAGTGTCTGTAGGTGTTTTTTTTTCTTTTCATTTATACCTAACGAACGAACGTGGGAAATATTTTTAAATGAATCCACTGAGACTCTGGGTATATGTTGTTGTGTGTGTGTGTGTGTGTGTGTGTGTGTGTGTGTGTGTGTGTGTGTACATACATGCACGTTCCAAATTATTATTCTTAAATGTTGATTAAGTGACTTGAAAGTAACCAGTTTGACAGTTCTTTGGGACACAACCACAGTAAGTCAATAAAACTTGCACCAAGGAAGGTGACTGACACGCTGCACAAGACAGCGTGTGTGTCAGAGCGTAAATATGGAAAATTGGTGAGTGAGCCCAGTGAAGTGACTGACACACACACACACACACACACACACACACACACACACACACACACAGTGGCCAGGACCCAACAAACAGATGACCCTTCCCCCACTGGACGGGTCCTGGGTGCTAGATAGTCCATTGCGGTAATGACAGTTGTCTCTCATCAACTCGCAATTCAAAGAAACAAGAACAAGACAACGGTTGAAGGAAGACAAGAAGATGTGATAAATGATTGAAGAAAACACTCAAGCAACAGGGCGTGAGCATCCTGGCCTGCAGTAACCTGTAATGAAGGCAGTAGGACGACGCGCATGGTGTCTTTACAGGCTAATTACCTATGTTTTATAATAATATAAGGTGGTATCTTAATTAAGGGTGAAGTAAGTGATACACGTCTTCTTCACTACACTAACGAGGCCGGACTAATCTTGACCCCAGGTGTGTGCGCCACCTTTGTTGAGATTTGGTTAAGACCTAATTATGATTACCAGCCACACCTGCCTAAAATATACGGTCATGTGTGTGTGTGTGTGTGTGTGCGTGTGTGTCCTCCATCACTTACAACCATTTTATTTCTGGTGATTGAGTCTGGTGTGTCATCTCACCTCTACACTTGTCCAATGAACCACCCACACCTTGATTCATGTACCTGGGCCCACCTGTACTAGTGATGGACTTAAACTAGCATCTACCTGAGAGAGAGACGGACAAACACGCGGCACTCGTATGTCCTAACAGAATATAACGAGAGACCTGCCTGCCTCTGGGTACATTTAATCCTTATTCCTGGTTTCTATTTTAAATTGTGTTGCGTTGTTCATACAGGTGTTGAGGGCCGATGACACATATAGGTGAAACATGTGGTTTTTGCCCCGTGGTTTACAGGAGGAAGGAACGTTACTGTATTTTCGGTTTTCCTTTGATGTTCTGGATTCATCTTTTTGGTTGTGTTTTATTGGTGTGATTTTGGCTTTTTGTGGTCAGATTACTGTAGGTGGAAGAGACTGTTTTCTTTTATTTTGGTTGATCTTTATGTGGTTTATACATACATACATACACACACACATACATACATACATCCATACATACATACATACATAGAAAGAATCTCTTGTACCGTGGAGGCTCCTCACAAACTGTTTTACTTCCCATAGAAAATAATGTAAATATAAGTCTTACACTAAAGCCGCCCGGAAGTCACTGAAACACAGATATATGGTCTCATAATGCAGTGTTAACTGTGTTGTAATTGTTAATATAGAAACAAAACATTTATGCTGGGGACTCCGACTAGATCTGGCACTTAATATGGTTAACTTTAAGGCATGATAGACGCAGAAGGTGAGGGGGAGGCTGAGGATGGTGTACAGGACCCCACACGCTGCCCTCATTTTAAATTTCGTTTTGGGACTCTCGGCCGAGTCTCTTAACACCTTTCTCTCACTCTGGTCATACTGTGGGTATTACTGTTCCATCTGAGGCTCTGAATGTTGCTTAGATGTGGTGATAAAGTAAAAACGTTGGTGACAGCTTAAACATATTCACTCCTAGGTGGCCCTAGCACCAGCCACGCGAACTCGAGGGGTAACCATTATATATATATATATATATATATATATATATATATATATATATATATATATATATATATATATATATATATATATATATATATATGCGATCATAAACACAATTCAATATATCAATGATTTAATTGTCTTATTCTCCTTTCTCAGGTACAGTGAACCATTGGATCAGGGCTCCAGACACAGTATGTGGATCAGGGTTCAGGGTTCCAGACACAGTATGTGGATCAGGGTTCAGGGTTCCAGACACGGTATGTGGATCAGGGTTCAGGGCTCCAGTCCCAAAAGTACGTGGTTGCTTCCTACACAATGCCCACACTGTACCACCACAGAACAGTATGTGTGAGGTGTTTGCTTCACCATCTTAATGACTCACTGGTGACTGTGCAGTTGTTATGGTGGACCGCTGCCCGTGACACCTGTTGTTCTGTGCGTGTGATCAGAAGGTGCTGTGTACTGAGGCTGCCACTGGACACATAATAACAAAAGGTTCATTAGTTCAATATCGCTGAACAAAATACGCCATTGTTCGTGTGTCGGAAGTGTTCATTCATTAATTATATGATATTTCCAGCTTGTGAAAATGATAATGTTAAGTTGAAAATAAATACCGTCGTCGTCTTACTGTTGTCGTGGGAGTTTGGTGTCGGTAATAAAGCCTCTTGGACCAGATCTTTAGGTTGATAAACAAAGATTCATTTTTTTTTTTTTTTTTACGATGTAAGTTTTGGTCTGTGGTGACTCAGCGCACCTAGGGTTCCTCACCGTCACCTCACAAATCCGGATCCTCAAAGGTTCCGAAGATTCCTCCTAACTGGTTGAACTTAGGATAAAATGCAAAACCAACATCGTAAACTAGAGTAAAAAGTACACTTGGGATTCTACCTTCGCCAGAGACGTTCACTGCACCAGACCAAGTTGCGGTACAGAATGTTACACTATTTTACACTCCTCTCAGCTGCTGCTAAAGTGATTGCATTCCCTTAGTCTCGCTGCAATTTTGAGGTAATTGTTTAATGTTATAGTTGTGTTTAGATTAAGTTAACCTCTTAATTGCATTCTTACATCACAGGAACTGTTAGGGGGTCTGGGCCCAGTTGTGTAATACAGTGCCGTCATCTTCATGGTAAAGGTACGAGCAGGTGTGTGGGTCACGTCTCCCTGTACGAGACGCCCTGCATAGTACAGTGTACCCCAGCAGCTGAGGTCACGGGGCGTCATGCTGTGTCCTCTACATACAAGAGATAGTTGTGGGTCAATAACATTACAGCGTCCATGACTCTGAGACATTGATGGGGAGGAGGACACCCTGTTATGGGCGTCATAAAGAGGAACAGGTCTTAAACTAATATTGATGGTGGAAATACTGCCAGGCTTATTGGCTCTAAAATGTCATGGAAATTTGTCAGCACCTGAAGGTAGGTGTGTGTGTGTCTGTGTGTGTGTGGTGTGTGTGTGTGTGTGTGTGTGTTGTGTGTGTCTTCTGTTTCCTGCTCACTATTCCTTTATTTGTAAACAAGGCCTTACACCCACCTCAGTTTGGACAAGTCACCTGAGCACGCACTCCCACCACCCTCCTCCTCCACCCCCTCCTCCCACCACCTCCTCCCACACCTCCTCCTCCCACCACCTCCCTCCCCTCACCTCCTTCCCACCACCCCCTCCCTACCCCTCCCACCACTCCCCCTCCTCCCACACCCCTCCTACCACCACCCCTATTCCCCACAGAGTTATGAAGACGAGTTGTTTATACACGAGTCAATTAAGCCAAAAATTAATATAACAATTTAATATAATTTCAATATATTTAACGTATACCTGGTGACACGAGGAGGGTCGGGAGGTTAGGGGGGAGGAGGGAGGGGAGGGAGGGGGAGGGGAGAGGAGGGGGAGGGGAGGAGGTGGGGGGGAGGGGAGAGGTGATGGTGGAGGGGGGAGAGGGGGTGAGGGGGAGAGGTGATGGTGGGAGGGGAAGGTGGATGAGGAGAGGTGGGGATGGTGGAGGGGGGAGGGGGGGGGGTGGGGAGAGGTGATGGTGGAGGGAGAGGAGGTGGGAGGGGGATAGGTGATGGTGGAGGGGGAGAGGTGATGGTGGAGGGTGAGGTGGAGGGGACAAGTAGAGGGGAGAGGTGAGGGTAAGGGGTGACAGGTGAGGGTAGAGACGGGTGAGGGAGAAGGGAGGGTGAGATAGCCGAGGGTGTGATGACCTGCTTCACCTGTCCTAATTACCACTTTAATAAACCTGTTTTAGTGAGGGGTTGCACGTGAAACTAAGAAACATTTGTAAATTAATGACTGAGGTGGATGACCGGATGACAGTGTGGATGACGGGGATGTGGAATGGATGTATATGGCTAGATGGGTCGATAGTTATGGTTAGTTGTGGGTGTATAATGGGGGAGGGGTAGGTATTGGGTGTGGCAGGTTGTATGTGTGTTAGGGACGAGGGGGAGGGGGGAGGTTATTTGAGTCAATAATCTCATTTTTAGGATATTTTTTCGTCCAATTGGGCCAAAATTCAATAATTTTGTTTGTTTATCAGTGAGGTCACAGTTTTGGTGTTTACATTGATATGATCCACATTCAGCAAACAGGAGAGAGAGAGAGAGAGAGAGAGAGAGAGAGAGAGAGAGAGAGAGAGAGAGTCATTAGTTAGCTAGATGCGCTACATATTTTTCCTCGCTCTGACTTCGCTTTCAAATCCCTTCTTAATTTCTCACTCTTTTATACACTCTAAGGACATACGTTTTCACATTTATTCGTATTCACTCTCACATCCACACACATTCATCCACTCACGTACACTAACATTCTCACATTCATTCACATCCAGCCATTCTGACATCCATCTGCTCTCGTCCATCCACATCCATTCGCTCTTACGTTCACTCACATCCATCTACTCCCACTTTCATCCACACATATCCATCCACTCTTATCCACTCACACCCATCCACCCTCACCTCCCCCGCCAGTGTGTACATAGGGCACACATTCCCCTCATCAGTTTACGGTGAAGGTCGCAAATTACAGATCAAACTTTACCTGTCTGTTGAGCCGTGATCACACACACACACACACACACACACACACACACACATCACAATATACAACCTGTGAGGGGAAAAGCGGGAGATTTACCAAAGATTTACATTTTGGTCGGTCGGGTCATTGGGCTGGGTGGGTTGGGTTGCTGGGTTGGGTTGGGTCGGGTCGGGTCGGTCGGGTCGGGTCGGGTCGGGTCGGGTTGGTCAAGGCTAGGTTGTTTGGTTGGGTTAAAGTTTAAGAAGAAATAGATGCATTTTCCCGTGTGATTTTATCAAGATTTATCTTATCCACGTTTTCATTGTGGATTTATGATGATATATATATATATATATATATATATATATATATATATATATTAATATATATATATATATATATATATATATATATATATATATATATATATATATATATATATATATATATATATATATATATATATATATATATATATATATATAATTTTTTTTTACATATAAACACTCGTTATGGAAGATGGTAGAGGGAGGGGAGGCATATAGCTGTTACGTCTGTTTGTACGACCGTTCGAGATGCTTGTCCGTGTAATAACTTGAGAAAGACTTGGCAGTTTGAAGTGAAATTCGGCACGTCGATTTATGTCATTAATGGTCAAGTCGAGTTCGATAATTAGTGATTTTCAGCTTTATTAGGCAAAGCTATAGCTCTTTTTTGTGTCAGAAATTTTCACAGGTGCAAATATGACACACACACACACACACACACACACACACACACACACACACACACACACACACACACACACACACAAGCGATGCTCAACATATAATTCAGACTAACCCGCAAGTAACAACCTCCTCACCTCCTGCGTGATCACAGAGACGAATCCTCCATCCGGCGTTACATGGAATTCCACCCTTCGGGGCGGCGGTTGAGTAGCATTCTCTTCCTCCTAGACTCTCGCCTAAACTTCAACCTTGATCCCCTCTGCCGTGTTTTCCTTTTTCTCCCCTTGGTCATTTTCCCCTCTTATGGTAAGCCCTCGCTGCCTTAAATATGAGGGGAATTATTCATGCAACTGATGCTGCCTCCCCTCCCCCCCCTTATACCTTCAGGCCCTCCTTCTCCCCTCCCACTCATGGCTTTTCCCCTCCCTCTGCCTTCTTCCTTCCCCTCATTCCATTTCCCCCAACCTCACTACCTTCTCTCTTCTTTCACGATGTCTTCCTCACCCCTCCCCCTCATGTCTCCTCTGCTCACCGTCTCTTCCCTCACTGTTTTCTCCCCTTCCGTCCCCTCCCTCCTCACCCCACACTGTCTCTTCCTCACCTCCGTCTCTCTCTTCCCTCACTGTTTTCTCCCCTTCCGTCCCCTCCCCACACTGCCTCGCTTGGGATGGTTAGTTAGACGTTGTTCTCACATATTTTGTTTGCGATTTTTTGACACACACACACACACACACGCGCGCGCGCGCACGGTGGAGCTGCCGTGTGAATATCCCGAATTTTTTTGTGTGTCGAGAAATTCAGTGTTTGAAAATGCTGAACGTGTGTGTCTGTGTGTGTGTGTTCTCTCGTTTGTTTTTTTCCGACTGGAGGAATGTGGTTTATTCTTCCGACACTAAATTTGAATGAAAGGTGCAAAGGTCAAGGGAAAATGTCAAGGTCAAAGGTCAATGGCAATTGTAAAAAATCAAGGTCAAGGTCAAAAGTCAAGGACAAAGGTAAAGGTCAAGGGCAAAGGTCAAAGGTCACCGCATCGAGTAAGACATCAGACCCGTGTGAGTTAGTATACCTCTTTGGAATGCTTGCCGGGCTACAGAATGTTTATGTGTGCATTTTTTATCACGATTACTTGACGTAGTTGTGAGTTGGCTGTACTATTGAGAGATTTGTGTTATATGTTGGTATATTGAGTGACACACACACACACACACACACACACACACACACACACACACACACACACACACACACACACACACACACACACTGCTTTAAGGTATACTATCAACTAACATATTTCAGCATATGTCACATTAAGGTTGCTCAACACGTGAAATATATCCAGTTACAGCTGCCTGCTTGTCAATACAGTTCTATAGGTCAAATACATAAATTTTTCTTTTCTCTTGCGAGTATTTTTCAACTTTTCTGCCTGATGGATGATTCAATATATTTTATACCGTAAAATCAAAGATGTCTGGGGTTTGGATACACTAAAGTTCATTCGTTAAATAATCCTCGTTAAGAATAAAACT